AGAGAGGGAGAGAGAGAGAGAGAGAGAGAGAGAGAGAGAGAGAGAGAGAGAGTATTATTCCAGGGTTGAATAGGCTACTCGAGTTAAGTCGAGGACAAATATTGTAATTCTATTCAGGATAATGCCAGCTTGGGTGAAGCTGCAGCCGTAGTGGAGGAAGTTTTTATGCTGCCGCAGTTTACAATTGTCTTGGCATCCAGAGTTTGACTTTTCGTTCACGTCTGTGTCTGTCGATATTCGTGTCAAGCATTCATGTTGGCGTGTCCTACTTCATCGTGGATGGATCTCATACCTCTTGGTTTCAGGTTAGGTTAGGTTTGGTTATGGTCAATACTTGTGTGTGTCATAACCTCGCCACACGTCTCGGGTAATATATCGTTTCTGAAGCATATTATCTATTTGGGTCTGTACTCAATACGTTGGTTATGTGTCACGATCAGTTCCTTAAGCAAAAGTTACATCTTCACCTCCTGAAGTTGTTAGCTTTCTGTAATTATCTCAAGATATATTAGGCTCTACACTGCCTGGGTCTATCAGTCGTATATTCGAGTTGTTGATGTTTAATCTTCTCATAGTTTGAGCTGCTCCAACCCAGGGTTAATTAACTGTGTTATTTGTTGACCATCATTCTAGTTAGCATGACTTCATGTAATCACGTTCTGCTCAAGATGTGTGTGTGTGTGTGTGTGTGTGTGTGTGTGTGTGTGTGTGTGTGTGTGTGTGTGTGTGTGTGTGTGTGTGTGTGTGTGTGTGTGTGTGTGTGTGTGTGTGTGTGTGTGTGTGTGTGTGTGTGTGTGTGTGTAAGCTATCAGGAAAACGAGACACTAAAATTCACGTCAAATTTTAGGGAACATTTTATTTTTATGTACAAAAGGACGGAACAGACCAGCTACAAATTGTGTTGCCAGTCAACTAGTCCGCCAGGTTCATGCTCCGCCTCCGGTATATATATATATATATATATATATATATATATATATATATATATATATATATATATATATATATATATATATATATATATATATATATATATATATATTCTGTTTTGTTTAAACGACCGTGCGGCACGTCCACTAACAGAACAAAAATCTGTAAAACTACGTGAACAAATTTTCGCCAAAATGAAAGAGTGAGGTTTGAATGACGTAAAAAAATGATTAGCGAACACAGCAGAGTGGAAGCTGTGGGTGGCGGTGAGAGGTCTTCCCTCCGACAGCTTCAGGGTCTTCCTATGAATCTACAGATGAGTCGAGCAGCAGTCATATGTTAATCAGGTCGGCGAATCAACGCGATAGGTTAGCAGCTCCACTATAACGGGCCACCATCAGTCTTGGTGATCATTTTCTCAACCATTAATACTAACAGACGGACGGCCGAAAGCATAATGCCTCCGCTACCATTAGAGCGGTAAAGGTGTATAAAAAAAACGGACTTTCTTTTGAGACATCACCGAATAATATTACCACTTGCAGTGTTGGTAAATCTGTATGTTTGTTTGTTTGTTTGTTTGTTTGCGGGGTTCAATATGAATACATGTGTTTGAATAGACTGAGGAATCCCCGTGGCGAGCCCTGTCCAAACACGTCAGTTATTCTGGCAATGTGAACTAGTGTTGTTAATGACATAGTCTCGATGCCTCTGTCTGTCAGTGAGGGAGGGGTGTGGGTGGGGCAGGAGGTGAGGGAGGAGTGTGGGTGGGGCAGGAGGTGAGGGAGGAGTGTGGGTGGGGCAGGAGGTGAGGGAGGAGTGTGGGTGGGCAGGAGGTGGAGGAGGAGGTGGGTGGGGCAGGAGGTGAGGAGGAGTGGGGGGGGGCAGGAGGTGAGGCAGGGGTGTGGGTGGGGGCAGGAGGTGAGGGGAGGAGGTGGGGGCAGGAGGTGAGGGAGGGGTGGGTGGGGCAGGAGGTGAGGGAGGGGGTGTGGGTGGGGGCAGGAGGGGTGAGGAGGTGGGTGGGGCAGGAGGTGAGGGAGGAGTGTGGGTGGGGCAGGAGATTGCTTGAGTAAGCTTCATTAAAGTTAAACTATCGTCGCCTTCTTCACATGATAATAATTCCACATTTGAAGTTGTTTCTAAGGAAGGCGGACTAGGGATTGGTTAACTTGCAGTGTGTGACGCGGGTGCAGTAGATGGTACAATGTGCTCGGACACACGATATTTCTTCGATCATTTCCCTCCTTGTACTTAAACAGATCCACCATACAACAGCAACAGTCATCATGATGGTTTGTTGGTCAACCATAACTATGTCAAAATAAACATGATAAGCACAGCAGAACTTAGTGCCAGGTAGAGTCTTGTGCTTGACCTGACTAGGACTGATGTAATATCCGCAAACATAGAAGAACGAGTCTGGGGATAGGTGACAAGTTCTACTGGTAACCATGGCGCCATCGTCCCACTGAGAGTTCAAGCAGCACTGATCGATGACTGAACTTTGTGCGCCGCCCAAAGTCCAAATATTCCCTCACCCAGTGTTGTCAGACTTATCCTGCAGTTTTTTGTTTGAGTAAATGTTTCTTTAGTAATGCGAGCATACTGGTTACAGATCTGGCAACGGTTTGTCATACTCCCATTAATTTATGAGAAATTAGTGAGATTGTTTTTTTTTTCATCCAAATTTCATGATTTTCAGGCATTTTTAGAAATATTCAATGTAGTAGTTATAGTTATGTATATTTATAGTTTATTTTGTGGATTATTATCTTCAAAATAAACTAGTAATATACATAGTTATAATAAATACCTGTAAATGTTTGTTAAAATTCATAAAACTTCTGTCAATATTATTTAAAAACAAAAGACAGCGGGGCAACACCAATGACAGACTCGGCATCAACATGAACAAATTATTAAATAAAAGCAACAAAATATTTGACAAATAAATTTTTGCACAGTGTAATTAGCTACTCTGTTTAATACATGTCCATGCACACCACACCATGTTGACCACACCATGTTGACCACACCATGTTGACCACACTATGCTGGCCACACTATGTTGACCATACTATGCTGACCATACCATACTGACCACACTATGTTGACCACACCATATTGATCACACTATGTTGACCAACCATGTTGACCACATCATGTTGACCACACCTTGTTGACCACACTATGTTGACCATACCGACCACACTTTGTTGAAAATAGAAGAAGGACGAGAGAGAGAGAGAGAGAGAGAGAAAGAGAGAGAGAGAGAGAGAGAGAAGAGGGAGAGAAAGTGAGGGGGGGAGAGGGGAGGAAGGGTAGGAACCTGTATGAAAACAAAACTGCCTAAGAGTGGATTGGCAGTGAAGTGAACAGCCTCGTTGGCATGGACGAACGAGGTAGTTGGGCAGTTTACGACGTGGCGAGGCTAATGTGATTCAGGAAGAGTGGAAGATACTACCCTGTTATGTGCCTAGTTGTAGTAGTGGTAGTGGTGGTAGTAGTGGTGGTGGTGGTGGTAGTGGTGGTAGTAGTGGTGGTGGTGGTAGTAGTTTGTGATAGTGGTAGGAATAGTTGTGATGGGGATGGTGAAAGGAATGTTTTGATGGTGGTGGCGATGGTGATAAGAGTGGTATTAGTAGTAGTAGTAGTGGTGGTGATATGTACACACACACACACACACACACACACACACACACACACACACGGGACGTAGGAATTAACATAAAGTAAATCCAAACTCACTGATGCTATTAAGTGAAGCATCATTAAAGTATTATATCCTCATCCTGCACCATAGAGAGAGAGAGAGAGGGAAGGAGGGAAAAGTGTGACTCAGGCAGGAAGTCGTGAGGGAAAAGTGTGACTCGGGTAGGAGGTCGTGAGGGAGAGGTATGACTCAAACAAGAGGTCGTGAGGGAGAGGTATGACTCAAACAAGAGGCCGTGGGGGAGAAGTATACTCTCAGGCAGGAGGTCGTGAGGAAGAGATACGACTCATACAAGAGGTCGTGGGGGAGAAGTATACTCTCAGGCAGGAGGTCGTGAGGAAGAGATACGACTCATACAAGAGATCGTGATGGAGAAGTATACTTTCAGGCAGGAGGTCGTGGGCTTAACAGTCTTGTATACCATCTAGAGGGCAGTAACATATTATAAAACTAACATCACCAACTCTCATGGTTATGTTCCCTTGACTGTGATTCATCTTACCCAGAGCCTTGGTTGGTTTTTGGCTGGTGATGTATACAGTGTATTAGGGGCTTAAGTAATAGTCCTGTATATAATTTACTTTATAAACCAAATAAATAACATAATTTCACTTTGGTAATAACTGAATTATTTTGCTCTTCATAAACCAATATTTAAGAAAAAAAATTAAGTTCCTTTTAATTTTTGATGAATGTGGTAAGACCTCCTGGTGAAGTGGCTTTCTCTACTGGTAAGCTGCTCCACGCCGCTGACTCACCACTCAACGAAAATGTCTCATCCATCTCCCTGATATAGAGAGAGACCTGTGGCAGGCTGAGAGGTGGGGAGGCGCTGGGTGCTTCAGGAATTGTCGGGGAGTTGGGTGAGAGATGTGGCGGTGGGGAATGTTGTGAGCCAGGGGTTGGTGGGAAGCTGTCTGGAGTGTATAACTTGTCACCTTTGACTGTGATGTAGAGGTGGTTGCCAAGATTGTATTGTTTAACTAACCGAGGAGTATTATGTTTGAAGTCTTTTGGTCAAATGGGCCCCAGTCCTAATAGACCCTTGTCCTAACAGACCCCAACTTAACCTAGCCTAACCAAACCAAAATAACCTAACCTAACCTAACCTAAAAATTTTAATTAATCCAATGTGTCACAGTCCTATATTGAACACATTTTTCTATTATATATTTGAAGCCATTTAACCCGTGAAATTTTCTTTTATATTTTCAGGGAAATATTTTAACTATGCGTATCCCGCGAGGCTCTGAGACTACCTGGTTTAACCTCGGGTGTTCTCAGCAGTTTGGAGCCTCTCTCTCTCTCTCTCAGAAAGTCAGCAATTTAGTGACTCCTCGCATTTCGTGTCTTACAGAGCGTCGGTACAAGCTTCCGGAAATGAGAGGCGAGGCGTGTGTTGGTGACCAGTAAACCACTAAGATGAATTTTAAGACACCTTGATGTTCCTCTGAAGATTATTGATTGCAACTCTAATGAACCCTCCAACCCAACCATAAGCATTTGGGGTCTATTAAGAGGCGAGGCCCTTTAAGACGCCTTAGGACGACAACAACACCATACATCTCTCAGTGTAACTAGAGAGAACAGACGAGTTAAATTTGACGACAGTAATTACGGAAAAATTAAGTCATCTTAGGGGACCTTGGATAGGATTCTTAAAGGTTCAGACGATTGTTATTCCAAGTAAGTGAATTTTTTTATTTATTTTTTGTCTTAAGTTAAAGTACGAGTATAACATTCATAATTGGCGTCAATTTTACTGAGACTACCGTTCGCTTAGTATGAGTTTGGTGACAATATTTACATACAAAAGCTTCAGAATTATTATACCATTTTAGATATTATTGTTATGCTTTAGCTTCAGTCATGCCAATTAGTTGTGGACTTATATCTTCAAATACGATGAAAATTGAACTTCTAAAGCCTTTAAGAATTCTGGCTCTGGATTAATAACTCTCCATATTGTGCTCGTAGTGTGGGTGTGTGGTGAGGTGAGGTGAGGTGAGGTGAGGTGAGGTGAGGTGAGATGAGGAGAGGTGGGGTGAGGTGAGGTGAGGTGAGGTAAACATTATGTTGTCGACACTTGGAGGTTTGTTTATGAAATTAGCTGAGTGACGTCAATCCGCAGTCCATGGCGCTAGTAAGTAAAGCCTGACTGTTTTTCGATATGTCAGTCATCAGCAGGCAGGAATAAATTGGACGATTCTTATTCACGCGTCGCCCACCCCATGCATGAAGCGCTGCTGTAATGGCGCCTCCTGGGGGTGTAAATATTGACAACTTGTGCAGAGAGAGAGAGAGAGAGTAAGTGTAAGATGTGTTTACCTTTAGTCCAACTTATATTCTCTCACAAATAATGAGATAAAAAAGTTTAAGTACAGTAATATAGAAGCAATATTGACCTTTATTATAACTTATCTTGTTACCTGTAGGCATGTGTCTAGTCGTTTACTGCTTAATGATCACGTGACACACACACACACACACACACACACACACACACACACACACACACACACACACACACACACACACACACACACACACATACATAGTTCCATCTGTATACTTAGTGTTGATAAATTGGTTGAAGAAATAGACAGTAAAGAAGGCTGTATTGAACTCCATTATGTGCAATTATAGTAGCAAATAATGGAGGTGCAACTTAAGGGTGATGATTTTCAATAGTTTTTTCTTAACTCGATACTATAATACTCTTTGGATCTACTTGCTGCCAATTACCCCTTTACACGTATTACTCTTTCTTTTTGTCATATACTGTAAATAAATAAAATACGATAATAAACGAACTGTAAAGTAGAAGAAACAGAAGAAAACATATGTGGGAGTAGTGTGTGTGAGGTAGTGTGTGAGTGTGATGTAGTGTGTGAGTGTGTGAGGTAGTGTGTGTGTGTGAGGTAGTGTGTGTGTGTGTGTGTGAGGTGTGTGTGTGTGTGTGTGTGTGGTGGTGGAGTGTGGGTGTGGGGTGTGTGTGTGTGTGATGTGTGTGTGTGTGTGAGGTGGTGTGTTTGTGTGGTGGTGTGTGTGTGTGGGGTGGTGTGTGTGTGGGTGGTATGTGTGTGTGTGTGGTGTGTGTGTGGGTGGTGTGTGAGTGTGGGTGTGGTGTGTGTGGTGGTGGTGTGTGTGGTGGTGTGTGTGTGTGTGTGAGTGTGGTGGTGTGTGTGTGTGTGTGGGTGGGTGTGTGGGTGTGGGGTGGTGTGTGTGTGGGGTGGTGGTGTGGTGTGTGGTGTGTGTGTGGTGGTGTGTGTGGGTGGTGTGTGAGGTGGTGGTGTGTGTGGTAGTGGTGGTGGTGTTTGTGAGGTAGTGTGTGTGGTGTGTGTGTGTGGTGTGTGTGGTAGTGTGTGGTGGTGTGTGGGGTGTGGGGTGGTGTTTGTGGTGGTGTGTGTGTGGTGTGTGTGGGGTGTGTGGTGTGAGGTGGTGTTTGTGTGAGGGTGTGTGTGAGTGTGTGTGAGTAGTGTGTTGTGGGGTGTGTGTGTGTGAGGTGAGTGTGTGGGGTGTGTGTGGTGTGTGTGTGTGGGTGTGGTGTTGGTAGTGTGTGTGTGTGGTAGTGTGTGTAGGTGAGTGTGGTGTGAGGTGTGTTTGTGTGGTGTGTGTGAGTGTGAGGTGGTGTTTGTGAGGTGGTGTGTGTGGTGGTGTGTGTGGGTGGTGTGTGTGGTGTGTGAGTGTGGTGGTGGTTTGTGGTGGTGTGTGTGTGTGGGGTGGTGTGTGTGGGTGGTGTGTGGTGTGTGGTGGTGTTGTGTGTGGGTGTGGTGTGTGAGGTGTGTGTGAGTGTGGTGTGAGGTGGTGTGTGTGGGGTGGTGTTGTGTGTGGTGGTGGTGTGTGAGGGTGGTGTGTGTGGTGTGTTTGTGGTGTGTTGTGTGGTGGGGTGTGTGTGTGGGGTGGTGTGTGTGTGGGTGTGTGATGTGTGTGGTGTGTGTGTGTGAGGTGGTGTGTGCGTGGGTGGTGTGTGTGAGGTGGTGTGTGTGTGAGGTGTGTGTGTGGTGTGTGGTGGTGTGTGTGGGGTGGTGTGTGGTGTGTGGGTGTGTGTGGTGAGTGTGTGAGGTGGTGTGTGGCTGGTGTGTGTGTGTGGTGTGTGTGGTGTGTGTGTGTGGTGTGTGTGGTGTGGGTGGGTGTGTGAGGTAGTGTGTGAATGTGAGGTAGTGTTCGTGTGGTAGCGTGTGTGAGGTAGTGTTTGTGAGGTAGTATGTGTGAGGTAGTGTTCGTGTGGTAGTGTGTGTGAGTTAGGTAGTGGCAGCTCTTTTTACCATCACACACATTAATAGATTTTCCCTGAGGTTCGCTAATTAATCCTCCCTAATGCATATATCAATTCTGGACGGCATTTAAGTGCCTTATGTAGAGGATTTATAAACGTGGAATTTTTTTTTCTTTCTCGAATATCGGTATTTTATTGACATTATTTCACACGGAATAGATTATTATCTTTAGAGAGAGATTCACTAGAATAGTAATTTGAATGATTTTCTAAAAGGTAAAAAAAAAAAGAAAGACAAGAATTATAAGTTATTTAGTTTTTATTGTATAGTGTTGTTAATGTTATTTGTTACTGAGCTTCATTAACGTGTATTTTAGATTAATGAAAACATAAGTTATTAAACACTAAGAACGATGTCTCACCAGTACAGTATATCATGTTACAGTGTGTGACGGTCATTAGTACACTTTGTCATTAACTAACTTTTACTTCGATTAAAAAGAAATCTCACGTTAGCTTTTAGGAGTATTACTTATACAGCTCTGAGCCATATAATAGCCTAATGGATTATGCAAAATATATATTTATATATATATAAAACTAATTGCGATGTTTACGTTATACCCATGACTTCCAATTAATTTCCATGTGACTAAATGCAATTATTCCTGATAGTTAATAACATATTATAATCATTTAAATTTTGAATTCATTTGCACTTATCTCACATGACCCGCGTTAGCAAAATTGAATTAGGCAGAGTCCGAGTCGGTAATTACTGGTTCGGCTATAAATTGTTCCGTATATATGATACCTTTCACACACCTGTACACACACCTAACACACACACCTAACACATCTAACACACACACACACTTAACACACCTAACACACACACACACCCACACCCACACACAGGTGCTCTGCCAGTCACTTATCCACACTTGCGCATCTTTTAGCTATGCTGTCTCTGGCCACACACTCTCTCTATCCTCCTATTCATCCCTGAGCCGTCCAATTATACTCTTTCATCCACCCTCTCCTCTATCTTTTTTCTTTTCTTTATCTATTCACCCCCCAGAGTAGGTGATTAATGTACGTCTCGTTAATCTTCTTATTGTGGGCTACATTGAACGAGGAACAAATGGTTAAAGTCGATTTATAAGCATTATGCGTGAAATATATCAGGTCTGGCTGGATTTTGGGACTGTCAATTATTTTTTCTTTCTGTGAATGGTATTGTTGTGATTATAATTTATCCTCACCTGACTGGATGTAACTTGTGGATATAATAATAATAATAATAATAATAATAATAATAATAATAATAATAATAATAATAATAATAATAATAATAATAATTGAAAATAATGGTCATATGGCACAATAATCGTAACACAAATGATAATATTAATCTTGGTAAGTTCTATACATGATTTATACACACACACACACACCAAAAATAAATAAAATTCAGACATTGAAGCTAGTTTTTGCCTCCCTCAAACGCCATTACCTGAATTGAAACTGCTGGAAAATACTCATCAAGAAAATATGACTTGTAATATATTGTACTTTTAAAATTTATATATATAATCTTTATGTAATGGACTACTGAAATACATCCAAATCCTGTAGTTTTCTATTCATTCGACAGACGGGTACAAGGTTTAGTGTGTGTGTGTGTGTGTGTGTGTGTGTGTGTGTGTGTGTGTGTGTGTGTGTGTGTGTGTGTGTGTGTGTGTGTGTGTGTGTGGTGGGCTTCTGGTGTAAGCCGAGTAATGGATCAATATTATTACATTAGAAGGGATAAGTCAGTGTTTTCTTTCCTGATGTTTACGTTATAATATATTCATTGAGTTTCAACAGCTTAGGTCAATGTTTTAATTCAGTAACAGTGCAAGTTATCAATAGTTGTCGTTGTTTTTGTTGTTGTTGTTGTTGCTGTTGTGATTTTGTTATTGCTGCTCTTAACTAGCTTTGGTGTTTAAGCTCGTTATTTTCCTTTCTTAAATATAGAAGTCATTAAGAATACTACTGAAGTGGTGTCAAGGGTAGTGCTGTATATTGTCACACACACACACACACACACACACACACACACACACACACACACACACACACGGAGGAATGTAAATTGTAGCGAAAGATTTCCTAAAATCGTAACTCAAAATTATAGATATAAGGGAACAAAACAGATTCACAGCTAGGCCCATGCAAAGATTTTTTAAACACCCGTGGTATAAATTGTTATATTATTTTTTAAACTAATAATAATTTTATATATATATATTTTTTTCATCTCAATCTTCTTAAAATTTCAAAGAACAAAATAAAACACCATTTTTTACTACAAATATTTTCCTACGCCAGGTTGACACATCAATTTATAACTCCTATAACCAATACTAAATTTCTGTCGTGAACTTTTCGGGTTAAAATCGACCCCCGAAACTCATCCCAGGAA